CACAGTTATCTCTACCAGGGTCGTCCCAAGGAGCGTAGAAATCGAACTCCACCCCACCATTGACGGGATCCTCCAGTGGATACTTGTCATCTGTAAAACGGTACCACTGACCCCCAGCGGGGAGGTAGACAGCTCGGTTAGTTTGACCTTTTGATACAATAACAATTGAGAACGGCTTTTCCTCTCAGTGGTGTACAGTTGCTATGTACTTAGATGCATTGTCTTAGAAAAGTACTCGGAGGGTACTCTAAAAGTGCAGAGCATTTTGGGAAAGAACTGGCCATTTTTATTAAGGGAATTTCACTATTTTTGCAACAAAGTTACGGCCAGGGTTTCTGTGTGAGGCCTGAGTACCAGATAAGGTCTACAGCGTGGAACATAAACATGGCCTTTTAAAAAGTAAACAAACCTGGATTGACAATGGGTGCCACCATCATATCTTTACCCAAGAAGAACTGATCATCCAATCGGTTGGCCGTGTAACCGTTATATCCCCACCCATGCGGGTCATCTGCGCGTGCATCGTTATAGAATTCTCCCGGTTTGTACTCATCCATGAACAGGGGCCGGCAGATGGGTTTACCTGTCTTCGTGTTCTCATACATAGCATCGTAGATGTACTGAATAAGTTTGTACCTCAACTCAATGTACTTTCGGCAGATTGTGGGGACTGGTTCTTCATAGCAGTACGGCTCTTGGTATGGCTTGTAATAGTTATCATAGTGGTTTCGAAACCAAGGAAGAAACGCTCCCATTATGGTCCAGCGCGTCAGCATCTCGGAATCCACAATCTGGCCTTGCCATGCTGCACAGAAGCCCCCAATGTCACAGCCGGAGACCGGCTGCGCAGATAGGCCGATGCCAAGCACCAATGGAATGTTCATCTGTATGAATTCCCAGTTTGATGTACTATCCCCAGTCCACAGACCAGCATAGCGATGGACGCCGACAAAGCCACCACGAGCGATGATGAAGTGGCGTTTGGTTGGTCGGAGACGCTGCAGTCCTTGGTAAGTGGCTTTGCAGAGATTGTAGTTGTACAGACAACGGATTTTGGCGAATGGTTTCTTGTCATGATGGGTGCTTACTTTGGAGTACCTAGGAGAGGAAAAAACCGTTATCAAGTCTTAACATACAATATCATTGGACCTATGCAAACAAACAAAGAAACAAGTACTCCAAGTAAACAGAAATAACTCGTAAATCCCTGCTTTTAGCTGCCTTCTATCAAAGCCCAGCGAAGAATTTTAATTTAAGGCAAACGATTCAAGTTCAGCGCATGGCGGTTTGGCCCCACTGCTGTCACAACACCGACCTTGACAAAAAAAATCCTTGAATGTAGCGGACTGATTTCTTTTGCCAAGATCTTTCCTTTCCTTCCGGCTGTAAGTGACCTGGTTACTAGACTAATAACAAACCTGGTTTCCTCGTTGTCACTGATCATTATATCCATAGGAAATGACAGCAGGGAACAGTCAGGCTGATGAACACTCGCTTTCATTGCTGGAGTGGTCATGTCTTGCCACACGAAGTCCAATCCCCAGTCTAACAGATCACGGTACTGCTCGCCCCACCATTTCTGTGCATCCAGCCGTCCCAGATCAGGGTAGTGTCCCCAGGTCAGATGACCGCGCCCATAGTTCACGTTACCGATGTATTCATCATGGGTGCCACTGCCATCTTCCCTTGTGTTCATCACAAAGATGCCGCCGGCTTTTCCAGTGTCCAGGGCTTTGTACGGACTGTACTCGCCATTTTCATCTGTGTTGCAGCTCACGATGGGTGTGATGTTTGTGCTGCATTTGTACCCCCAATCGTGCAAGGCATCAAACATCTCTTTAGGATCAGGAAACTTCTTTTTGCTGTGCGTGAAAGTGCGGTAGTTGTCCTGCAAATCCACATCCACATGGAGCCCGTCAATTGGAATCTTCCACTGACGGTACTTGAGCGCCACTTCCAGTAGCTTCCACTTGGTGTTGTAGTTGGGGCCATACCCTCCTTGGTGGTAGCCAAATACGTACTTTGGCTTCGGCTGAGTGCGCCCGGTCAGCTGGGTGAACTCGTCCAGTACTTCAGCCACGTGCTTACCAGCAAAGAAGTAGTAATCAAGCTCCCCGTGCAATGCTCCGAAGTAGTACTGATCTCCCTGGCGAAAATTCACGAATGTCTGCGAAGTATTATCGATCAGGATTCCGTTGGCGTACGAAGGACCGGCGAATGCTCCGATGGGTTCTGGATTGTGCTCAATGAAGAACGGTGAAGACTGATATAAGGGAGAATTAGGATTTAATGGCCCCTGTACCTCACCATCGGGTGTTAGATCTGGTGCAGTGTAGCCGAAGTTGTCATAGTTGAAAAATGTCATGGCAGCTCCGATCTTCTCGTTTTCCCCTGCGTATTGGCCATAGAAATGCTGTTTGGGAACACGTCGCTTATCAAGCGTTGCACCTGCCTTCTCTCCAAATCCGAAATACTGAGCATTGGTCGGCGCTATCTTGAATTGAGCGGTAGCCTCACCACCGTCATCACGCTTCACATAGACTAGGTTGTAGTCACTCGGATCGCCGTGAATTAACTGGCCACCGCGGTACACGGACAGGGCGTATTTCTTCAAATTGACATGGATCTCGATCTTGTCGGTGCCAATCTTTAGATATCCACCTTGTTCCTTGACTTTGATGTCGGAGGCCTCGATCCTTTCCACCTCAGTGGCTGGAGAGCGAGTCTTCACATACGGAGCTTTGGGGTCAGGGTTGAACCGCACTCGAAACATGGCGTGGGAAAGGAAATAAATGTAAACTTTAAGATCGCCTTCAAGGAAGAGGGTGAATTTATCTACCACTCCTTCTTCTTCTTGAATCCACTTCGTTACTCTGCCCAAATGAATCCAGTTCATCCGAGACTCTGGAGTAAACTCGTCCGGAGGAACGTAACGGTAATTTGCCATCTTCGAAGCAGGAATAAGTTGTGGTTGATCTGCAAAAAAAGGGAGTCAAGTACTTTGTTTTGAGCAAGTATTATCGTTAGTTTTGTTAAAAGGATCACTATAATAATTTTCAATTTTCGGGGATTCGAAAAACTGACATCTGAAGAGCTCAGCGATGTAGTCACCAAGGAAGTTTCATTAACCTTTTAATTCCCAGAAGTGATTAACATGTAACTTCTCCCTGTGATATTCATACATTATCCAGTAAACAGGTAATGAGAATATTCAAACGTATCAGGTTTAAGTTGTTATCTTGGTTTAACACCAAATTCTCGTAACTAATTTATAAGGGAAATGTGAAGCAGCGAGAGGGGAGAATTAACAATCAGATCGTGGGAGTTAAAGATCAACGAGAAATAAAAAACGCTCAGATTCGACAGATTTGTGATTCGGGTCAGAATCTGTCTTTGCTTTGTGAGGTTGATTAATGACCACTATTGCATAACTTTCTTAGACAATGTAAGAAGGACTTGATCGAGTGTCCTGTGGTTTACCTTCAGATATCCTGTGGTTGTTCAATTATCTAGCTACTTCAGAACAAGAAAAGGATTTGGTCTGTGTTCGTGCTCAGATCGACAAATAACTACCTTTCCTTCATTGATTGTTTCAACAAAGCACAAACATAGAATTTCGACCTCCTTTTAGAGAGAGAGTCACGCTCCGATTCAATCAATTTGCCATCAATGATAACAAATACAATTTTTTTCAGTCAGTTATTAGTTACTGATTGTTAATGACGAATGTCTGTAGACTGTTTCAAAAAAGAACACTAATGCATCCTGTTTTCACTGCATATTTCAACCGAATTTACGTTCTCCACAAAAAGAAACGATTGTTCGTGTTCGGTCATTAATTATTCCGAGCCTGAAGTTGCATGTTCTTCACTAACACTGCATGCAAATGTGCAGCTACGAATACAGAGCTAATGTGTGGCAGAGCAGCTTCAATTTCATGAGCGGTTTCTGTTCTGGAGTCTTTCCAGGGGATGTAGTTTTTGGCCGAAAATGTACCAACTAATTCCTTTAGACGATAGACGGATGACTTACCTCTATTAAACCTGATCCCCAGAGTAGATGCACTTGAATAAGTGGAAAGCCGAGAGGGAGTGTCATTGTTAAACAGCTATTTATACGAAACTGACCAATCGTACTAACGGGAACGAGTTACAAATTCCGCTTAAGCTATTTCCTATCACGCGATTGGTTCATTTTGTATGGGTGACCAAAGCAACGTAAGTAGCATTTGAAGAACTGTTCATCCTTTGTTCACAACAAACAGCGGTCTGATAGATCATGAGGGATGCACGAATTTCACACGTCGAATTTTAATGCTTTTTCGTGCTTCGGTTCTGAAAAATGTGAAATGTTGGATGTCAATTATCAGACATAGTTGTGTTTGTTTTTTTTCTTTTCGTTAAGCCAGTGATCCCAGAACAATTGGCACTGACGTAAACGTGTGGTAACACTTTTTTTTTTCTCTCAAGACTCTTGAAAAAGAATTAACTGCTTTATAGCTCCGTGAGCAGCCTTATAGTCCTGCGAAAACGGAATTTTTTTGTTGGAATTTTTAGCAACGTAATAAATAATCTCTAAAACGAGCCTGTTGGGACATAAATAGATAGTTCAGCTTTGTTAAATTTCTTTTCATTTTGTGTATCATTCAGTTCAATATATCCTTTTCAAAATACAATACATGCAGTGGACCTAAACAGTTCGAAGTCTCGTGAATTACGTCAAAAGTTTGATGCGGTTATTACGCTTTAGCATTTGATCGTAATAATGTGGTCGTGCACAACTGATGGAAGCAGTTGAACGGTTTAATTCGCTTCTTCACTGGCGCTCCTCCTACAAGTTTGTGTCGTGACTGTCTAACTTATCTAGCTCAAAGACTTAAAAATATGGAAACTGCCTCATTTATGTCGAATTTTCCTTTATTTGCTCCTATCAGGCCAAGGTAGATGGTTAGAAATTTAACAAAAATTAGGATGCAAGGTCACGAACGAGGCTCGGCTTCTTTTGAAGTCTCGCTTGAGAAGTAAACTTGAACGAATGATATTG